AGAATTCGCTAGAGTAAGACCAAGTCGCTCAAGAAGTAGACCTTTCCCTTTCCGTCTTGGCTGTTGAATCATCGAGCACTAGACTTTGAGTTCAGAGTGGGAATTTCAGGCTCGAGCTCGAGACATGTGGAAGGAGATGCTGAACATCGAGACCGGCGGCAAACGTGATGTGGCAAAACTGGCGGACATTGTCATGACTCATAGGAGACTGGAAAAGAGGTAAGGTCGTCAAATTGCTTTGAAAACTGAAGAGTTTCTCATTTCATGGAGCATACTATTCATATTTGCTGCCGTTGACGCCCTTTTAAGAGAGTGCATTTCAGAGACACACTTGCTGATTTCTGGGCACGCCGTCTTCACGATCAGGAATTGCGTGACGAACCAGTTGGATATGACACTCCATCAGCAGCTGTTGAGGCAGCGGTGCAAGGTGGAGGTGCACAAGGATGTAAGTTGCCGACAGTTGACGCGGCTAATTGAATTTGTCACCAAACCTTTCACTTTAGGCTGTACATGCAACCGTGGACCTCCTGGACCACCTGGTGACCCTGGACGAGATGGCATGGACGGATTGGACGGCAATCCTGGTGATATCGGACCACCCGGCCCTCCTGCACCACCTGGCCCTGATCCCGTGTCGCTGTTTCCACCTCAGTGTCCGTGCGAAGCACCTCCTGGAGATCCAGGACCGAAGGGACAACAAGGACCAGACGGTCCTCCTGGTCCTCCCGGTGCTCCTGGTGAGGACGGAAAACCTGGAGATCAAGGACCTCGTGGAAATCCTGGAATGCCTGGACCGCCAGGACCAACTGGACGCCCTGGTCCACCTGGAGAGCCTGGTACTTACAAGACGGAGATCGGACCACCAGGAAGACCTGGTGCACCTGGTCGTCCAGGACCACCTGGTCAGCCTGGCCCACCCGGTTCGCCTGGTGAAGATGGAAAACCTGGTGCACAAGGACCTCCAGGAATGCCTGGACTCCTGGTGAGGACGGAAAACCTGGAGATCAAGGACCTCGTGGAAATCCTGGAATGCCTGGACCGCCAGGACCAACTGGACGCCCTGGTCCACCTGGAGAGCCTGGTACTTACAAGACGGAGATCGGACCACCAGGAAGACCTGGTGCACCTGGTCGTCCAGGACCACCTGGTCAGCCTGGCCCACCCGGTTCGCCTGGTGAAGATGGAAAACCTGGTGCACAAGGACCTCCAGGAATGCCTGGACCTCCTGGACAACCTGGACAGAATGGACCAGCTGGACCTCCAGGACAGCCTGGAGAGAACGGTGCTCCAGGATCGTGCGATCATTGCCCTCCTGCGAGACTGGCACCTGGTTATTAAAGTATTTCCTGCATGTGTCAATAAATGTTGTAATACATCTGAATCTTTATTATAACTACCACGAAAGATTGAGGTGATTAATCGCTTTTTGGAATCCGCCATTAATATGACCTGAATGGAATATTACTCTGACATTTGAAAACTCACTCACAGTCAGACCAAGATGTAGTTGTGGGGCCAGTTCTGTAATCCTGAGCAGGGTTCTGAGGAGAAGGTAGCCGCAGCTGTCTCAGTTTGAAATCCAGCAAACGAAACAAAAAACTGGTCCATTACTAGTTTTCACATTGAGAAAAGGATGTAAATCCCGACCGAAGGTGCTAGGAACAAAATTTGGTCTACTGCGGAGTAAACAAGCGGAAACCTTGCAGTCCAGTAAGCAGCCAAGCCAATGAAAAGGTAGAATGCATCACTTAAACTCAACATTGCTTCAAGAGATTTTTTGGCCGAAGTTTGGCATACGTGAGGCCTTTCCCATTGATCCGTCTTGTAGAAAAAATATGCAACAATTTGGTCATAGAGAACCAAGAGGGTCAGTTTGCCAGCATTTCCGCTAGCATTGCAATCAGGTGTCTAGTAGAATGGAAGAAAATTTCAAAGAACATCTGTAGCTCATTGTTTTCGTACTTTCTAATGCAGTTTATCCAGGTAGAGATAAGCTCCTGAGGATTGGGATGGGAGTAGGGCGAGAAAGTTAAGATGATACTGGCTGAAGTTGTAATTTGACGAAGGAACTCACGAGTGTTCTGTTGAAGAAGCAGCTCAAGTTCCCTGGAAGATGATTTTCTTCTCCTATCCTTTCAGCTATACTGATTCTCCCCATGAGCCATGGTAAGCAGAGCTACTATACTAACTCCCTTGAATAGGGTATTTCGAACCTTCGGTAGCCGAGCTGAGGTCAACTATAAATGGAATCTTCTTTTTACTTCAAACACTGGAGCACACACCTTTCCCGCAGCCTGATCCTGCTACTGATTCATTCCAGAAAGTGCTGGAACCAAGTGTTCTCTCCAGCCGACCCCACATCCCCCTGTTCACTTGCAAATCAACAAAACTTGTAAGTATGCCAAATGTTGTTGATATTGTCAATGATTTCCAATGTTTTCGTAGCTGATCTGTGGTGGTAAAAGGTCAGTAGGGAAAGTTCATTTTTTCAATTCGTTGCCTTGACATGGTAGACTGTTTAAGTTCTCGTTTCATTCATATCCTGCTGTAACTTTCATTCACTCCAATTTTCAGATATGGAGAAGCAAACGGTTTAGGCCGATACGACTCACTCTTTTCATTCAGCTAAGCTTCACTATTATAAAAGGTTGAGAGATTTGTCATTTGAAAAAATATGCCTAAAACTCCGATAATATATCTTTCAATTCCAGATGTTTGTAGCGAAAACACAATAGTTTACCCAGTTAATGAGGCTTATACATACGGTGAACAAACTTACCCAGTTAACGAAACTTATACATACGATGAAGAAACTAAATGTAAAACACCTGCACATCGAAAAGTTTAAGTCTTTTGCTTATTTCCAAGCACAAAATGCCGTATTCTAGCATGCTTTTTCTCGGGTACCCTGTCTGATTTCCATAAAATTCATTTTGACTGCGAGAATTTGTATGGCAAGCTTATTGTGGATGAAATCAGTGAGCAACGTCTGTGGCTGAACAGACAGGTAAAGTATAATTTGAGCTTTCAGGAAGAAAGTTCTCAATGGAGTGCCTCTTTTACTAAAAAGCACTATGCACTTGCTATAAGTAAAAGGTTCCCACTGCTGGCAGAGGGTTACATACAACTGTTGATTAATGACTAAGGAGAAATTGAGAGGAAAGATTACCAAAACGTTGTCCCGATGTCAAAGTTTTAATGTAACTGACAGTGATGCGTGATAAGTGCAGAATGAAAGGATAATTATATGAATGTCAGATGATAGGAGAGAGTGATCCTACTATATATAAATCGCTAAGAGTGTTTCTGTTGGTTTGTTGGTGTGTGTGCATCGGTGTGTGTCTGTGTGTTTAACCGGAAATTCATAACTGCTGTTCCAGTGGACCCAGGACGTTCAAGCTTGGTACGAGTTTAGGCGGCAGGATGGGAACACTTATGGTAGTTGGAAGGGCCTGATTCCACCCACAGGGAGCGGGATGTGCGCGAAAGAAATGTTCGACCAGAGTTTCATACCTCCTGTTACCGTGCTGTCGGCTGATTGGTACCAGACTCGTGTGGGAGGAGAGAAGCATTGACGTGTACATCGGCCGGCCACCGCACGCCATTGTATAGGTCACATACGCATTCAATCCGCCGTTACGATTCTGAATGGAAGACGAATGCGGAGAGAATCTCTCAGACGGGACTGACTGACGCCAAAAGACTTTATCCTTTTATACCGTGGACATGGAGCCTTCGAACTTGGTGGGTGTACAGGAGGCTTGATGGGAGTTCTTATGGTGGGTGGCAGGGAGTGATAGCAATCGATGGGAGCTGATAGGGAGCCTTGGAGGGCAATGGCAGCAAGATCCGCCGCCTTCTTCGTGTTAGCGGCTGGGCCTTGGAGCCTCGGCGGGTGGTGTGTGTTGACGAGGGACCCTGGGTGTTTGCTGGGACGGGGATTCGGTCCGGCACTCGGCTCTTGCAATAACCCCCTGGCTCACCCCAGCACCCGCCCCCGTGTCCTTGCCCAAAGCCCCTTTTCGACGCGTCGTATATGTGACGGGTAAAAAATTGCGTGTAAACACGTGCTGGATTACTGTAAGAGCCGAGTGCCAAACTGAATTTTCGTTCCTGTCAAATGTTTGGTAACAGGAACTGTTAACAGCTGTCAGGACTGATAACGACTCATAGAAGA